CATACCTCCATATTTTAATATTGGTATTTAGCGATCTCATAATGTGCAAGGTATGTATTTGGCAGTGGCGTAGAAAAGAATTTTTCATTGAAGGGGGGGGGGTGATTAGCGTGTTAGCCAGTGTCGTAACAGGCGCGGGGGGGGGGGCTGCTCCCCTCCCCTGACGGTTTTTACCGGGCTGACTAAGCTGGGTAATAAGAGAAAAGAAAGGGGGAGAGGGAGGCAAAGAGAAAGAAGAGGAAAAGAAAAGGAAAGAAAAAGAGAAGAGAAAAATAAAGACAATAATAAAAAGGAAGAAGATATCATAATGACCAGACTCACAACACCTTGCAACCCCTTCTCCACTTAAAAAACTGTCATAACTCCCTTGATCTATGCTGCCCGATGGCGTAACCACTGGGGGACAAGGGGAAAATATCTATCTTTGAAAAATCTTCCCCACTCCTTTATAAATGCCCTTTCCATCCCCTGAAAATGCCTAAAAACTTCAAATTTCGCATGCTTCGCGCGCATTTCTTGTTAACATGGGCCAATTTCCTCTAAAAATTGCACATTTTAGGGAGTATTGATCAATTCCAACGAAAATAAAATTAAAAACACCGGGGGACAAAATGAAAATATCCATCTTTGGAAAATCTTTCCCCACCCCCTGACAATGCATCCTCTGAAAGGGCCTAAAATTCTCAAATTCTTGTTACGGTAGGCCAATTTCCTCTATAAATTGCACATTTCAGGGAGTTTTCATCAATTCAGAAGAAATTAGAATTAAAAACACAAAAATATTTTGCGAGCTTCGCGCGCATTTTTTAGGTTTATCCTTTTAAGTTATTTAAACACATAATAGTCCCAAACTCAAGAAAGACAAATTTAAGATAGATCATTTTAACCTAAAAGAAGGGCCTCAATGTGTATTGATGGTGAAAGAATATGTTTGTAATAAATAAAAAAAAACAATGATGAAAATGCTTATATTTAGTTTCAAACACACGTGTGTGGTCTATTATAAATAAGATAAGCCCTATGTCGTATTGTTTTCTATATGGGAGGTGGAGTGGGTATGTTAAATTACTAACCGGGAAAATAAATACCCACTCTGACCCAAGACCCCTGTTACGCGCCTGGTTTTAGCGCCAATGTGTGCCCTTGTGCGGGCAGGGGATGTGCCCCCTCTGAAGCTGGAAACCTTGTTTTTGCAAAATAAATTGATGCAATTTGCTATTATAGGCCTAATCAATAAATTCCTCATCAACCGATATAACCTTAAACATTCTTGGAATTGACATAACATTACTGTCGTAGTACACAACCTTCAGTGTGAAATGTGGCTCTCTTTGCAAGCACATCTAACATCTAAGGAAAGAAGAGTTTAGATTGGTACCAAATAAAATAATTTTGTGAACAACATTAATACATTATGCTAATTTTCATCTTTGTAAGCGCATAAGACAGTGCAAATTTTTTCTGTGACAGTCTTTTGAAGTGTGTAAAGCTCTATTTTACCCCATACATAGTCAAAATATTTGGGGGAATGATACAATGGAACATTCCCCCCCCCCCTTGTCAAATATGAGGGGGATATATCCCCCATCCCCCGGGATCTACGCCTATGGTGTTTAGTACAGTCACCTAGTGGGTATTGCTAATTATCCCACATTACATAGTAGCATTAAAATATTAAGCATTGCTTTTTAATAAAAAAAAGTTTGTTTCACAATAAACATTTACGTTATAAATCCTGTATTGGAAAAAGTAGTCTTCTTATCTTATTTTTAAAATTGTGTAAGAAGTATTTAAATATACATGAACATGCATTTAAACACATCTAGATGTGTATAAGAGACAGGTTCAGTAAATGAAAAATAAAACTTACCGTCAAGTTCAGAATTTATTACAACAAATGGTATTAAAACATTATGTGTTTATATAACTACTGACTTTTAAAAATATTTATTAAAGCAGGAGTAGTAAAACAAACTTCTTAAACTGCACAGGAATACAGCTACGTACAGTACAGTCAACAGCAACCGCATTCAATATTCGCAGACAAATATTATAGAGGGCGGCAAACCGATATGTTCTAATATCAGCAAATCAGTTCAATTAAAATAGAGGGCGGTAGACTGATATTTATCGATATCAGGGCTTAAATTTTGCTATTGTATGGTCTTTTTTGAAAGGCGTTAAACGTCTAAAATGCATTTGTATCCTGAAATTTAAACAAAATCATACTACAGCAGTCCTGATTAACTTATTTCAATAAATAAACTTAAAATTGAATAAATAAATAAAACCAAAAAGTGGAAAACGGTACTATGAATAAAAGTTTTGAAAATAATGCGTGGCATTAGGCCTAATTGTTAAAATGTGATTGCTGCCCTCTGTAATTACAGACTTTTCAAACTTTATTGATGATATTGGAGCCATCAAAAAGAATGTAGCTAATGGCTAGTTTTAGCCCGGGCCCATTTGTGGCACAACAAACGGCCTAACATCTTTAATTTAAGCAAAATTATAATAATATGACACTTTGACTTTGATCATAATCGATTAGAAACCAATTGGAAACATTTCTAATTATATTTTTAATTTAATTTTTAATAATAATAATAATAATAATAATAATAGTAACAATAATAATATGGTTCTTGAATTATATATGCACAAGCAAAATAATATCACAAGGTATTATAGAGAACGGCTGTACTTCCAAATTCCAGTAAAGTATATTCTGTGTACTGTATTTATTTATCTTTTTTAATTCTTTCTTTATCTTACATTTAATTTATATATTTTTATATTTAATTTGCATATTAATTAATTAATATTTTTATTTAATTAATCCCTCAGTTCAACATTCGCTGAAATTAATTATTTTTAGAAATTGCAATTTGGTATTAAGTCCAAAAAAATAATTAAGACAAAAATTAATTTTTAGCATTGTATATATTTGACATGGAAAAAATTAAACGAGCTTTCACACTGGCCAGGACTCGCATCCTCCGCCACCACCAGTTAAGCGGCCAGACCTATCCATTCATGCAGGGGTACGCGGACATACCCGGACATATCAGACCATATATGCTACATCACCCGGCCCCGAGCGGTCCGTTCCAACTGAACTGAGGGAGGAAGCAGAGCTGACCCTAAGCTAATGCCCTGAACCTTTGCCGAAGCCTGTCAGTTGAACACATGACCACCCGAGACTCCCTTCACTGCACAGGGCATATCCTCTCTAGCTCCGAACATTGGCATAATCTAGCAACGTACACCCATGCGGCCTAGTACCAGAAGACGCATAATCGGACCAATAACAAGAAGGACGAAGGTACTACGGTACGGATGTAAAATTTATATATATACACGTGCATTCAATATTCTGCATCGTGTTGGTGTTGTTTTTGCTTTTCTTTTCAAGGCATAGGAAAGTTTGAATGATTTTTTTACAAGGTTATAATCATGGACCTATTAATAAGTCCAATAATAGGTCCATTTTATAATACTTAAAATGATTTCTGTAAGAAATCCTTCATCCTGACTAGAAATAAATTAAAAATGAAATTTTAAATATTTAAAGATTTTAATATTTCAGATCATATGAATATTCATTATACTACTTTGCACCAAACTAACGTTTAAAAGTAGTAGAGGGCGCTGGCTGCCCACAGCAAGATAACATTTCTGAAAACCGGGGCGTTCAAACATGCGTTTTTCGGTCTGCTCAGCTGTTTTGATAAACAAAAGGGTTAGTGCTTATGTAAGACAATGTTGTAAAACCACTTAGGCCTATTGTAATAAATTCTGAAATTGACAGGTGTCGTCATGGATCATTTACTAGGCAAACCTAGGCCTAGCCTAATCATGCCATCATCATCAAATTAATTAATGTGGTGCTGGACAATGAAACTCAAAGTCTGCCAAAGAAGGTTATGTAGCCTATTCACCACTGCCTGCCTGTCAGGCTAGGCCTAGCTGTTAGTTAGCAAAATTATTACAAAAGAAGGAATAGATCATGATAAAATTTAGTTGAATGGTACATATCAAAGAAAGCGATTTTTCTAAATTAATGTTGCAAACATTATGTGCACTTATGAGCTGCTAGGCCTAGCTAGAGTGTCAGTGAGACTAGGCTAGGCCTATGGAATCTGAAAATTCGGCATTCAGAAGTTCGTTTTGAAAAAAATTTTACTGTTATTAATTGTTTGTGAAAATAAATAATTGACTTCACTTCATCTAATTTAAATCGTATTTCTGTCCTGCAAAGATTTTGAAATTATATTAATATTTTCATGGAAGGCAGCTAAAAATGACAATGGAAAATTAGTTAATTGTATAGTTGGATAAATTATTTTTCTTGCAGCTTAACTTAATGAATGAATTTTAATTTAATTAATTTTATTGTATTTCCATTTTGAATTTATCCTTTAAATTTTATATATTGTAAATTCTTATATTGTAATTTTGTAATACATCTTTTTTGTAATGCAACCTATTTCAACTCTTGCTGCCAGTTTGTATTTTTATATTTTATACCGAAATAAATAAATAAATATTTAAAAAAAATAGAAAGTCAGAAATCAGAATCATTGTCTATAAATTAATTAACCAATCAATTAATCTATCAATTAATCAAACATTAGTATGTTAAAAGTATTGCTAGAAGATGATGATACTTATAATAAACTAAAAATCACACCAACAAAATGTTTATCTTACATGACACATGCTCAAGCTCATTATACCTTCCTTTGCCTTCTCAGGTTCTTTCCTCTCTTACTTCTCTTTCCAAAATGAAAAAGTCTTCTCTGTCAGGTTAACCTCAATTTGATTCCTTATGTATTGGTTGGGGACCGATACTCCAGGGTTGTTATAATACCCAGAGAGTTTCAGAGAGAAAAGTACATAACAACATGAAGGAAGAGGCTTCTGGGAAAACTTGATTGGGCATCACACATCAATAGCACTACACACGAAGACTGTCTAAATCACACCGGAAATCAGCGAAGTCACAAAAAAGTCAACCTACATTTACTGTATTGGGTTGAAATAACTCAACATAAGCAATAAAAACTGCCTGTCTATTATGACCCTCCATCTAAACAGTCTCATAGAAAACTTGATAATACTATATCAACAGACCCTACAGTACTACACAGACATACATTACAGTAACATATACGCACGCAAAATAGATTTGTTAATACAATTTCATTTATTTGCTATTGCATTTTCATACTGAAGTATTGCACTGGGATCTTATTTTGAAACATATACGAAACTTTCTTCCATTGCTGGAATGACACAGTGTGGGCATGGATTCTTCCATGTTGTGGCTCATGATATTTTTGTCTAATTATGAACAGCATGTTTGTATAACATATATTTAAGTTTCCATTAATTTGTCTCAATTGCTGTTCAAGTATCTGTGTAAAATACATATTCTACATAAAAGATTTAGACACAACTGAAAACTATGCAACATTAACATACACAGTAAACATATTATATAGAAAATACTGATTATATATATTGTGTATACTATTAATTAAACTATGCATATCTTTTTCTGTACATACATACCAGTGGCGGCAACATCTTTTCCCCAACAAATGGCCCAGTGTTCTCCCAAAAATGGACCGCAACCACCTCAGCCCCACGATGGTTAGAGCTCAGGTTAAACATTTTAGGTTTGTCACCTTTGATGCCCGAAAATGGCATTCTCGATCGGACCAGCTTTCTCTGGTTTAGAAAATTATTATAATTGATCGCTGACAGATTTTACCGCAACTCCCTGATGGCTGGGCCAGGCACTGACCAAGCTAGCCCCACCGCTGGCGCTACCCCTAACACAGCAGAAGTGCTAGCAAGTGGTGCACATTTTTTCACTCTTTTAAATGTCTCCCCAAGGCTTGCAATTCATATATTTAAAGCATTGCCACAAACGAATAGAGCTTGTCTCTTTACATATATCTCATATACTTTTTATATATGCAGTTAGAAATATTTTTATAAATCACTTTAAATTTAACTATTATTTAAGTACTGAAATAATTTTTATGATTTTTTCTTATATATTTGAAATAAATTCTCCAGGTACATAAACAGACAGGTTCATATTTTTTATACTGATCTGGTAAAGCTTCATGATCCCAACTAGACATTATCTCCTGGTATTCTAATTAAATGTTCATTTTCAGCAACCACATTTTGAATGATCTTTCAACTTTGAAGGTCTTGTACTCATAAAGAAATTTCAAGCATTATACTGCACCTATTAAAAGAGAGCACAATTTCAACATTAGTCATCATAATGTATTAAGTGAATTGAGGCAGTTTATTGCAACATGCACTATTATTATTATTATTATTATTATTATATTCAGCACAATGAGTAGGAACATACCTCTTGGCCAATTGCTCAGCTCATTAGTATGTATTTATTTTTCATTATTTCCAACCTACCTCCTCGTTCAGCTCTGGAAAGAGTTCCAAGATAACCGTGTCAAGGAGAACATAGGACAATTGTTTGTTTAGTTTAGGGTACTGCAAAACATCAAAGACTGTCTTAAATCCCTCATGGAATTTATCTCTGCCAAGGAACCAGGGTAGTACTCCTAAAGAAAGAACAACAAGTAAATTCTCTGCTAAAAGATATCACCTGATACAAATAATAAAAGACAGCATGAGTACTAAATAAATATCCAGATGATGATCATCAGACACTTCTGTAGATCCGGACTGAATCCTGATATATCAGTAAAATATCCAGACGATCATCTGGAGCAACTCCTGATGGCATTGAACAAATTTCTTAACCATAACTGAGCTTGAAACTACTAGTTTTGCTCAATTCATTTTACTTGCATGCTCTTCCCATCTAGATCTTTTTTAAACAAAAATTATATCAAGAAAGTTCTCAAAATGTGACGACCAAAAAATGGCAATATCTGGTGGGATATGTGATTCACCATGACCTTTAAGGCCGGTTCCCACTGAATGCGTGAAGCAAAAGCAGTCTTGGATCAACTCTTGTAAATTCATAGGCGAAGTCTCCGCGACCACCTCGCCAAAGTTTTAAGATTAGGCGTTCAACTACAAATTTGTTTCCATGTTCACATCAAAAGTGTCAGTTGTGCCTTCAATTCAATCGCATGTGACACATTTCGACGCAATATTTGTTTGATCGCATTCAGTGGGAACCGGCTTTTGGTGGAGTATTAAGCATCCCTACCCTATTATGCACAGGAAACTAGGACCTTAGTGTAGTAACAACCCTAGCCCAAGATGTATAAAAGTTTGGGTATGATGGGAATATGCAGGTCAATAGGAGATCAGTGGAGTGACACAACCCCATGATGTATTGTTGGATATATGTGGGTCATTTGATCTACAGTAATAGTGTCATGACGTCCTGGATGGCAGTTATCATAGTATATACCATATTGTATTGTACTTTTTGTCATTATGTATGTTGAGGAGATATTGGGCCATGATGTCACAAGTAGCAATAAAGGAAATTGAAATTGAATTATCCAATTATGTAACCCTAAGCATCTGCTACAATCCTGTTCCATCTCACCTGGAAAGAAGTCAACCATTTGTTTAAATGTTTCATGTCTTCTCTTCATTTGTTGTTCCTCTGTTAGTGGTGGATCATCATCAAAGAACAAAGCATCTTTGGGTAAAAAAAAATATTGTAATTCATAATTCTTTGTGTAATAATAATAATAATTATAATAATAATAATAATAATAATGTTACACTTGTATAACACATAATGAATGTAAAGGCTTCTATGCGCTTCACATTTATAATATTAAGTAAATATTTAAACAAAAAAGTTAGCGAAAGGCCAGAAATAAACAGAACCCTCTATAAACATAAAACAGGCCACAATTAAAGAAAGACATTTTAGCTATGAGCAAGAGGTTAGTATTTACTTTTATTGATAAAACCTCAAGCTAAAAAAAAAATTACATCTTGTGGCCAGAGGCCACATTGCATGTGATATAGGTGTGTACAGTCAGTGCTGAATCTAGATGTTAAATGACAATACTGACCTCTTAAAAGATGAATAATTTTTTCCATTTGTTCTTCACTTTTAACTTGATCGAGTTTCATTGCCAAATAGCTGTAACAAATAAAAGAAAATATATTTAATTAAGTTGGGCTCTTAAACTTGAGGTTTGGGCTTTCAGTCCCTAGCTGTATATAAACTCATGGAATACAGTTTTCATCTCCCAAGGGGAGTATTCCATATTACAGAGTAACTACTGCATTGGCATCCAAACTTAGTACCTATTTTAAATACTTCTTGGATACATACCATTAACTAAAAACACACAAGGAAGTAGTCATAGTGGGAAATAAATCCCCCCTCCCCCCATTCAACCTTAAAGTTAGGAGAAAGAGTTGCAATCATGCCATTAATATATAACGACTCTCTAATAACAAATTAAGAATACCTGTCAACAAAAGCTTCTAGAATGTTCTTAAATATCTTGCGTAGTGTAACAAGGCAATGGTGCACAGTAGAGGGCACTTCAAATACCGAACGAGCTGAAAAATAAACAAAAAAACAGTTATTGAGAAAGCAGCAGGGCTTATTCAGTTTAACTGGTAGTAAACTGTGAGTGGGCCCCGAGTTCAATTCTATACGCTTCTCTATTTGTGTTTCAGCTGGAAGGTTAAAATGACTTCTCTGTCAGAACACATCCTGATCTACAGATCCAGGTGAGATTATAAAAATTTCATTGAATATTTTTATACAATAAAATAAATCGTAAAACATGCATTAATATTTAGAGGAAATCCAAAGTAAAGGAATTTAATGATTTGGGTGGGATGTGAGTGGCTTACCTAGATAAAGAACATAGTCAAATATGCCATCCAGATGTAGAATGTCAGCCTCTAAGGTGGGGTCTGGATGGAGACTGTCTTTGTCAGCCAGCATGTCTGCATTATTGACAAACATGGTGCCACCAAGCTAGCAAGAAATATAATGCCAATCATTCAGATTCATCTTTATTCGTCACATACCAAGTAATTATTTATTTATTAATTTTTTATCAAATGTATCTAGCACACTGTATTCAAAATTTGAATACAAGACCAACATGGCCCAAAATGTAACACATGCCTGGCACGCACACCAGGTAAATACAGTACCATCAAACTTTTACATTATTTTATTTGTTTATTTGCTATTCTATTTAATATATTTTTTTTTTCAATGTGGCAATGTAGATGAAAATATCTATGAGATTAACATACTTTACTCTGCATGTTGGCTGAGGCATTTATTTCAGTCACATCTGTTTTGCTGAAAAGAGAAAAATCAATCTTGGTGAATAAGACATAAATTACAATCAAAAGATGTACACCTAACAAATTGGGGAAAAAAATGTATTTGAAATATGTTTCAGTAGTGGT